AAAAGGCATCGACATAAAAACAGGCAAATTAATACACGATATGACGCAACCATATCAAAACAAAGGCGAAAAACCCATGTACCAGGAAATTTTTACAACAACACCGGTAACACTGGCGGAAAAATCATCCAGAAAACGAAGATAAAACAAGATTACAAGAACTTTCACAAATAAAAAACACTTACTTTGGCGCATTTCACTACGATATTCATCTTGATATGAAACTCGACTACACAATCAGGAGAACTTTTTAAGAAATGTCACTCTCCGAAATAGAAACACTTCATCATTTATGTGAACTAGAAAGAACACCAACAGTACAATCACTCGCTTAAGCAGTACTTAAAATACCCTATGCAGGGTACCTATTGTCAGGCAACCGCTCCATTTTCATTGAGTATGAAGAAAACATTCTATGGTTTTACACATGAACGAAAAAAGTTTCACCGCTTTACGTTTTTGAAGATAGATTTTACCAACGTATACCTAGATTTTATTTTTAAAAAGTACATTTCGTAGAGACACTATCACGAGGAACCTATTTTTGGGATAGAGCGGTCCCGTGTGGATCTGAAAAACGCAACAATGTAGTACAGCTAAATCCAAACGAAGACAAATACTACCTTCTCACCCCATACCCCACAATAATGTCACCTTTGAAGAAATTTAGACCCGAGAGCATACAGGCAATTGCTCGTAACCAAAACATAGACCTACAATCAAGTATTTACTCTATACCGACATTCAACGTCCCATCAAAACAACAGTTCCAAGAACTTCTCACAAAATAGATACAATACAAAGACAATCAACCGATCAGAACTTACAAATACTAGCTAAAACAGCAGGCTTCTCAGATATCTACAGACAAGACTATAGTGGATACTTCAAAAATACCGTCCACAGGATATCTCACAAAACCTAATTTTAGTTTTGTAAACATCAAAAACGAACTCTTCGCTTTTCGATTATGGCCATACTGTATATTAGAACGATTTACTATATTATACGCAATGTTTAATTTCATAGGATTGCTCTTTTCACCATTAAAAGGAAACTATAATACATGCGCTAAACATACACATGTCACTAGACAAGCAAGCGTAGCACTCAACTTATTTGCAGTATTTTTTGGAATATTTTCCACCTCCATTAATAAAAATCTCCTTGACGCCCTGATTAGTGAAAATAAGATAAAAACTATCTACAAGACCGAACACGTACGACACCCATATCATGATACAAATACAACACTTACAGCACCATCAGATTTACACAGTCTACATAATAACCATCCCATCTTTGGTTCTACCAAGTTAAAGAAACACTCTTAACCACTGAACATACATCTCAACCTAGTAATCTCCATCGAAGTCCAGTATCAACCGAATACCGACGACACATATGATACAATTGCAGAATAACCACATAAAAAAATCAAATCGCCCATGTCACACCTCCCTCGTATCAATCTCAGATGTCACTTCTTCTCCCCTACCCAGTTTTTCTTCTAACTCACCACGCATGGACTCATACGACTCAAACCAAACAATTTTTAACACCATTTCTAACTTAAATAATTCTGATACAGAATCCCCTGATGAATTCCTTGACTCCGAACCAAGCCCTACCAGTATTCGCAACCACCTTTCCAAACCATAAACTTCCCCTTTCCTGATTAAACTCTTTCCTCTCCCTCTTCACCCACTGACGCAACCCCTATCCTTTACCCTCTATCGAGTAACGAACCCGACATACCCAGACCTATCACAGACAATCAATTTGAGCATGAATTAGATACCTTTAAAATCAACAACAACAAATTCATGACAAAAAAACGCATTAACAATTCACCAATTAACGAAAGAAAGAAAATCTTGAATAAAGAGATCCACTGCTCACACGAAATAATGTTAAAAACGAAACTAACCCACCTATACACATAAAAAATTAAATTCACAATTCACCGTCCCGTAACCCGCATCATCGATTTATGATCATTAACTCAAAATACACATCACCATATTTCTTAAGCTTCACAAATTGCATTAAATCCCAACTTGCACGGCATCATCCGTAATAATGACCCCGTCCGACAGATGTATACATTTTGCCCATTGACTAAAACCTTCCCACTAGATGACGCCTGCCCCATCATACTTCCCCACGACTATATACAGCCCGTTGAAATAGCCCCACTCGGAAACATCCGTAACATCAAAATTTATCACAAACTTTATAACCTAATCCGAAGCACAAATCACCAACTGTTTTCAAAAATCCCGAAAAAGTAAAAAAACATCAGAGCGCTTGGACTCTTTGGCCACTTTTTTGCACTAAAAACGTAATCCGCATGCTTGGCAAGCTTTTAGTAACATCTGACACTATAAAAACTTACTTCCCCATCGATTTTTCCCTGAAAACGAACCCTCGTAGGTATAATTTATTATTATTACTAACACAAATACAGAAGACACTCACCACTCTTACACTTGTTTTTGAATTTTCCTTTTTAGATTTCACCAGTCACCCATCTACAAAACAAAACAAAAAAAAATCACAAACTCTCTCTTCAAATTTTCAAACTTTAATCTAACAATGAAACTGAATTATTCAAGTGAAGTGAAGTTAATAACAGATGCAATAAATTAAAAATTTTTAAGTAAAATTTGAAAATACGAAGTAGTAAATTACTAATGCAAACAAATTGAAAGATAAGTAACCTTTTTAGGTGTGCTTCTTGTGTAAACTTCGAATATTTCTCATTTACTTGACCACATTTCACGCACTCTATCCACCACAAAAATCAAGTAACTCGCCTACGTAGAATTGTTTAATGAATGAACTTCAAGTTTCAACACTAACTGAGACTCTGATTTGTTTTCACGCATTTGAGACTTTCCCTTAACCGGTTAAAGGGAATTATAGGTAAGCTTAAACTAACCAACGCAGCTTACTAACACCACAAAACCAACCGCATATATGAGAAAATCCCACGGTACTCAGACCAGATTAAACCCAGATTAAAATTGGATAAATTAATCTTTTGAAACCCACTTTCAACTTTGAAACCACTTAAAACACCAAATAATCAAAAGAAAACCCCAAAACAAAATCTGTTTTTGATAAAAGGACACAACCAAAGACAAACAAAAAGAGAGAAAAACTCCTGATAAAAAACAAAAAATTGAATAGAAAAAGAGACTCTGCTCAGAGAGACGGAAAAACTTTACTACCTCAACTGGCCTCACCACCAAGTAGGACGCCCTGAGCATGCTATATAGCCGGCCTAACCCACCACGTTACATCACGCTTACGACACGCACTCCTAAAGGGTGAGCGACTCTTTAAAATTACCTAAACCAAATTTAAAAAAACTCTTCTGCGAAAACAACTAACAACTATCACAACTAAAACTGATCTCAATAACAAGAAGTAGATATAATATGCAAGGTAAAAAGAATTCTTAGAGCAAAAGGAACGAGCAGAAAAGGGAGATAAAAACTCGACGACATTCTGACTTTAGAATGGCAATTCTATTGGTTTGTTGCCGTAGTCACAATCCTCATAAGATTAAAGTATGGACCAACATCGAAGCAAAGGTGCCCATTGAAGAAGAAAAATGGCCAACTCGATGTGGACTTCACATACAGACCCTAGTCACTTGGCGCTTCACACATAGAAGTCAAACTCCGCCTTGCACATAGTCTCGATCTTGCTTAACGAAATCTACACATCATTGCATTAATCTGAAACGATCAATCAAAACAATCTAAGATAAACGAGACCCACTTCCGGAACACGAACAATTGCCCTCCTTCTCTCGAGACCCACTTCCGGAACAACGAAGACAACTACATCTCTCCTTCCTCCACGCAGCCACTGCTTCAAAATGACACTACTCCAAGACTCAAGAAATCTCTCAATCCATCCTTCACTACAATAAACAATTTGAAAACTAAAACTCTCTAAACCCCTGATGGAAGGAAACAGTTTAAAACTAGTCTTTATGACCAATTATATTAATGATAAAACTACCTCTATAAAATATTTCTTACTAACCAATCATGATCCATAACTAACACTTACAATTTTTTGTACCGCTGAAGCTATTTATAGTTTCAGCAACAGAACAATTTAAAAATAACTTCGAAGAAAGTTGTTCTCCTTCAGAACAGTTCCAGAAATCTAACTCCAGTATACACTAGATCTATTGAGACTAGGAGATATAAGAAAAAGATTAAGATCGGTATTAGACTAAGAAGTTGCACGAATCTATCCGGCCGAAAATAAGATAGCGTGACAAACAGACGGCGTACTTTATCTGAAACTAATCTATGAGTGAGTCACCTTGGTTTTAAACTCAAAAGTTCCAGAAAAATTAAATCTCCAAAAACATGTATAAGGGAAAATATTTTTGCTTGATAGCCAAGAAATGTAATTTTTATTTATAAAACCCAAAATCTTTGCTTAAAAACAAATTTTAAACAAATTACTCGAATTTGTGGAGATTTAATTTTTCTGAAACTTTGTTAGGCTGTGTAAGAGGCTTCTTGTGATATATATTCCTCATCAATTAACAAGGTAGTTTCAACGTAATTTTTGATTAATTGAAAAAGCCAAAATGACCCAATTTTGGGGTAAAATTTTGGTTGAGAATTTCGGAGAAAGCATTGCACCAGATTAATTCTCATGAAAATCAAGGCAACTTTTGTTCTCTTTATTTTTTGTCTAATCTTTTAACCCAATTTGGGGAAAACGCGTTTGAAAAAGTTTTGTTCGTTTTGTCCGGATAATTTAAATCAGCGCTATTTAATGAATTTCAATTGAACTCGAAAAGTGCCTAGCTACGTAAGTGCATTCATAGATGCGTCAAAATGTATGTATGCGTAATCAGTAAGACCTATATAAGAGTCTTCACTACGTTCATTACTCTTAATAATTAGTCTAATTGCTTCCGCTTCTACAGGCGAACGTTAATTAGCGAACACTTTTCTCACGTTGTTGTGATAGTTCTGAACCTTTCTTGTCCAGCTGTGTCCCAGATGTTCAATTTGATATCCTGGATCTGCTGAGAATCAACAACAGCAGTGTTTACCTCAGACTGTCGGTCACGTTTTACCAATTTTGTCTTGAAATCCACGCCAATTGTGGTGATGAATGTTCCTTTGAAAAGACAATCAAATTGATGATATACACATCACTTGCGATACAACAATTAAAAAAGGCAATAGAATGTGAAATTAGCATCGAAAGAAAACTTAACAAGCGGTAACAAAGTCGAAAAAAATTTAGCAGAAATCATATAAGACGAAACAAAGTCAACGAGATCTTAAGCTAACAAGTCCCCCTCGCCATCAACACACAAACAAACAAAACACTTTAATTGCTCGTCAAATGACCCAATATGAGGTCACTGAGCTGATATAAAAAAAAGCCGAAACCAATTAAAACGAAAAAAAAGGAGATTAAAACAAGCCAAAAATAAGTTCAAATAATTTTGAGAATATAAAAAAAATATTAAGTCTCACTCAACCTCAAATCACACAGGTACGCAAAATTTCTTTTAGCTGGTCGAGAGACCCAATATGAGGCCATCAAGCCTATATAATAATAGACCGAAACCAATTTTCGGATAACTGAATTTTCAATAATTACTGCAAGTTGTTGTTGCTGTGGTGGATTTACAGCAATGCTGACAAAGAGTGCGGTCTGTATTTAGACAACGGCGTATTCATGCTAGTAAGTAGGCAGACAAAAACTATATTAGCCAATAAGAATTGAGATGAGAAAGCAAATTTACGAAATAAACAATTATTAATAATTGTAATAATTGTCCTGGCCACTACGTTAAACTGCATCCCTGCCCTACCTTGTTAATGGGCAAACTTCAAAGGGCTGTCGGGTCTTTACACCTGGGCAGATGGGGCCCTCAAACCCGGGAGGGTATCCAATCTAGGAGCAGGAAAACGCTGTCGGGCGGCCATATCCACTTTGGAAATGGCTGGGGTCGGCGCCCCAACAGAAAATCCAGGTTTCCCCAGCGCCTAAAGCTTAGGTTGTAGGTCAGGCAGAGCAGCCGCTCCGTTCAAGAATCCGCTTCAATCACGGCAGTAATGAGCAAGTACAGTGTAAGTAATAGTTCTGAACCTTTCTTGTCCAGCTGTGTCCCAGATGTTCAATTTGATGTCCTGGATCTGCTGAGAATCAACAACAGCAGTATTTACCTCAGACTGTCGGTCACTTTTTACCAATTTTGTCTTGAAATCCACGCCAATTGTGGTGATGAATGTTCCCTTGAAAAGACAATCAAATTGATGATATACACAGCAGTTACAAAGAGCAGAAGTCAGAAGTAAATCAAAACACTATGAGCAACTACTATGTAAGTAGCGCATATCAAGAAAAACAATTCTACGATAAAGCAACTAGGTCGACAAAACATAAGCCGAAACGGAAATACAGACCGCGCAGTATGAGGCCTACCAAAAAACCACAACTAGAGACCTGAAACTTGGAGGTGGAATGAGGAATGAACAAAATGGCCAAGTTGTGCAGACAAGCGCGCACGATCGGCGTTTTCCTGCTCCTAGATGGGATACCCTCCCGGGTTTGAGGGCCCCATCTGCCCAAGGGGTAATAACTTGACAGCCCTTTGAAGTTTGCCCATAAGCGGAATCCAGATAACGTCTCGGGCTTGGCTTCTTCCTGGGTGTGAGAAGCAGGGTCCGGCCATTGTGGCAAATCGTACTAGACCCCGGTCTAGATCAAATTCAGAGTTGCCACTTGGAACGTGGGTACCCTGGAAACTATGGCAGCTAACCAGGTCCGTACCCTGAAAACTAAGAGCGACAAGTACCGCTTCTACTACTGTTCGAACGAATCAGGTCTTGGCGGAACAGGTATGCTCCATGCTGAAAGCTAGGCGGACAAAGTTATTGAAGTGCAGCGCATCTCGGACAGAATCATCATAAATAAATTGATGATTGGAAATAGAGTTCTCACCTTTATCTCAGTTTATGCTCAACAACGTAGCTTGTCCGCCGATACCAAGGTGCTTCTCTTTGATCAACTGCAAAAAGCTGTTACCAAGATTCCAGGTTCTGAGATACTAATCCCGGTTGACGACAGAAATGGGCACGTTGGTTACCAAGAGGGACAGAAATGGGCTTCCGTTGGTTACCAAGAGGGACATGGTTGACACGGTTACCGTTCGCGTAATACAGAAGGCGAACGTCTCCTGGAATTTGCTTTTGCCAACGGCCTTCGAGTCGACAACACCTGGTTCAAGGTGAGACACTCCCACCTCATCCCATACAGATCGGGTGGCCACGCTACGCAGCTGGATTATATACTCTATGGTTAGTCCTTTAGCAGTGCCGTTTCTGATTTAGAACTTATTCCAAATGAGGAATGCGTCCGACAACATCACCTTGTCGTGGGCGAAGAAGTGCAAGTTCATACCTCGCATGCGCACATGGAAGCTTAGAGACGCGTCATAGCCAACCAATTCTAGGAGACCCTTCAGAAACACAGGATGTCAACTGCTCAGTCTATTTATGATAATGCATTTAAGTATGTCTGGTGCCGCCTGCGTTTCTGACTCTGAAGGCTGCCACTGTAGTATAAGGCCTATCAAAAAACCACAACTAGAGACCTGAAACTTGGTGGGAATTAACAAAATGAACACGTTGTGCAAGAGAAGCGCGCACGTTTCAAAACTTTGATTCCTTCATGAAGGTAGGCAAGACGACTGAAGCGCCAAAGGCTCGAGAGTCTAATCTGAAAGCAAAACGCAAGTCAAAACATAATGTTTGCCTTGTTAAGTCTGCTGCTGAGAAGGAAGAATTCGCCACCGTTTCTCTAAAGGGTGATGGTGTCTTCCGGGTCGCTTAGCAGATAGATCGCGCTAATCTGGACATCTCGTGCTAGAGTTGTGTGCAGAAGGATGCCTGTGCGCTCGCTATTCTTGACAACGATAATTGAAGGCGTGGGTTCAACACTATTCCGGACCTCTCAATGTAGAATTTGATTGGCCAAGTGAGACGCTCCCGAAGACTGCGGCGATCGCTGGACAGCCACCTGAAGTTTCTAGAGAAATAATATGCATGACCCTCAGCAAAATTAAGAGTGGCAAAGCCGCTGGGCCATCTGCCATTGTTGCTGAGATGCTGAAACCAACTGTAGATCTTGGCGTCGAACTGATGAGACAACTTACTGAAGCTGTTTTCAAAAATGGTGTTATTCCCAGACTCGGACGAAAGCTACATTCTGAATTTCCGCAAAGGCAAAGGAGAGGTCCTAAATCATGGCAACTATCGAGGACTGAAACTCACAGATCAAGTCATGAAGCTGGTAGAACGAGTGCTGATCCCATCATTCGTAGGATGGTGCATATAGACCAGATGCAGTTTGGCTTTGTACCTGGCAGATGTACCACTGACGCCATATTCACCGTTCGACAGCTTCAAGAAAAACACATTCCTGCCAACAGGCGTCTCTACTGTGCTTTCGTGGATCTCGGGAACGCTTTTGACCGTGTACCCAGGCAGGTACTGTGATGCGCTTTTCGAAGTCTCGGTGCTATAGAATGGGCAGTGCGGGTCGTCCGGGGTATGTACTGTGAATCCGGAGTCGGGTTCGAGTAAACGGGCAGTACAGCGAAAAATTAAAAGTGAGTGTCAGTGTACATCAGAGCTCTGTTCTAAGTCCACTTCTCTTCATCCTAGTCTTAGAGGCCCTCTCACAGCGATTCAATTAACGTGAAGATGTGTCTTGGGAGATCTCAATGGGATGACTTAGTTATAATGGCAGATACGCTTCAGCAATGCATCGCTAGACTCAGGACGGTCAGGGTCTGCGAGTCAACATGAAAAAGACAAGTTCCTGATCTCAGGATCGGCCTTGATCCCCTCAAGCACTTTGGGAAGTACCATTGTGCTGTCTGCCATAAAGGTTTTGAAAGCAACTCCATTGCTTGCTGTCAGAGCAAGTTGTGGGTTAACAAGAAATGCTGATAAATATCAGGCTGGCTGCCCCAGATGCACTGGATTGTCGCGGCCTATCGATGGTCGCCCTTCGAACATGATTGATGTAGACGGCACTACGCTTGATGTTGAGTCAAGTTTCTTTTACCTGGGTGAAATGCTCAGCGCGAGTGGGGGCTGTGATAGTGCAATTGATGCCAGATGTAGCTCAGCCTGGTGCAGAATCAGAATAATACTCACTATGCTAACTTCACAACACATTTCACTCAGAATACGCGGGAAAAAAGTATTTTTCTAGTGTACGATCAACGATGCTGCACGGAAGTGAAACTTGGGGTCCCAACTTATCAGATCTGTAAGGACTCCAACGAAATGACCTCGCGATGCTCCCAGGTGCACTTTCTGATAAACTCGACTTGTGTGACATTATCAACGTCCTTCGGAGCAGACGCCTCAGATGGTTGTTGTTGTTGGATGTTGATTGCCTGTAATTTCCCCCCATGGTCGGCTACTCCGTGGGTGAGTTGTTGACGGGTGAAGTATCGCCCGACAGTGTGGCCTAGGCTAAACACACTGTCGGGCTCCTCTCCCCCCCCCCCCCCCCCAGGTTTGAATTTTGCGATCTGTGAAAATCCACAGGTCCGCGCTTCTCCCCCCGAGCAGGGACCAAACCATCGCTCAACTCAGATGGTTCGGTCAAGTTGAGCGCGCTCCCTCCGCTTCATGCATCAAAATAGCCAGTGAGATAAAGATCTCATCCATCAAAAGAAGTGGGAGACCAAGAAAACTTGGTTAGATTGTGTGGAAAATGATATCAAGGAACGTTACCTCATCCACTCTGCCCCGCAAGACCGTATTTAATGTAGAGTTGCAGTTCGACAACGCATGGTGCTGCCAACCACATGTGACGGGACAGGGACAGCGCCCTAATCAAAAATCGGATATGATATGATTTTTTGTATCGATTCTGATTGGTTAACGATGCATTTTCTGCTTAACGACGAGTATGAATACGCGGTTGTCTAAATACTGCTACGCAACCGCTTAACGGTTGATTTGATCAGTGTCATTCGTAATTCATTAAAATTAGGTCCAGTTATTCCGACAGTTTTAACAATCACAGAACAATATCCATGTAAAAAAGTTTCACTCAGAAAAATTTCCCTTAAAAAATTTCCACATCATTTTTATTATTCTACTTTCAGTCCTCAATTTTGTCTTATGTTTATAAAAAAAAGTTCCAAACGATGTAAGATTCGAGATGTTCTAAACACAAATTCGTGTCGCACTTTTTCGGTTCGCATTTCTGACCGTTTGAAACCTTCATTCGTCCGATTTTCAAGATTTTGTTGAGCTGGCAACGGAATATAGCCGTCATGTTCCTTTCAATCCATTTGAAAGAAAAATTGATTTACGTTCAAAAAAAGTGATTTTCTTGTGAAAAAAGCTGTGGTTCTCTGAAATAACTAGATGAACAGCCGCGCTTTTTTGGTCAAAAGGAAATTCGGTACTAGTTTACTTGTTTGGTCACTCAAAAAGGCTATGGTCCCTAATAAAAACTGAGGTACAGTATGTGGCTAATAAAGGGTGCGAATCCGGTTACCAACTCCAAGGCGTATGTTGAATTCCCAAACTGACTCTTCTTTTTATAAAATAGGCGGGATCAATCATGTAACCTAGTTTTGTCACGGTACCAAACACGTAAACTAGTACCGGAAATTCGGCCACTGCTCAGCTGTGACTTTGAAGTTCAGTTTGCGTTTGTAATCAACTTCTGCTATGGTTGAGCGATTCTTCTACTTCAAAATATTTTTGAATGAAGCACGGGAAAATATGTCCCCGGAGCTGCTTGAAAAACTTGCCTTCCTATAATTCAAGTAACAAAAGTCTGAATTCCGGTTTTGGAAGTTGCATATTTTTGCGTTTTTTTTGCCGCAAATAGTTTTTTCCGGGTTTATCTGCACGGAAAACGTGAAACTTTTTCGCGATTCTCTACCGTCCCTGATGATGAAAAGTTATTGAAATTTTTTTAGCCAGTACGACTAAAATCATATTTTCAGTCCCTGAAATCTACTAGAAAACAAAACAAATAAACTTCGAGCAGTACTTACTAATGATGAATATTATCAGTACTCACTCTGAAATGGCTCGCCGACATAGACGTTAATGATATTACTTTTCCCGACTCCTACGAAAAAATGAGTAATATCATTTCATTAATCTCCTCCAGTAATACGGATTATTTAAAAAAATGAAGACTGACCACTATCACCAATAACTAGCAATTTGAAGTTCAATGGCTTTTTATCAAGATCAGCTTTGGTAATTTTTGGGGCCATTGCTTGTGCCGATCATTAGACTCCAAAAACCTGGAAATAAATCAATTACATAAAAAATTTAAAAAATTAAGCAGGCGGTTTTGCCCACTTTTAGTGCACCTTCATTTTTAATTTAAAAAATTATCATGATAACCGAAGTTACTACACAAGACCTTGTAACATTCGCCAGAAAATATACAGTGACGGAAAGACAAAAATGCCGGCTCTTTTCCAGTCCCCCCCCATTAAATTTGAAAAGTCTATTAAACGTTGTCGTTGTCATAATGCAATGAAATTTGGCTAGGTGACAAATCGACAATTCTGAACAGATTTGTTCATCACACTTTACAGAGTAACATCACGAATTCAGCTGTAATAACCCGTAAAAAAAACATAAAACTCGGTATTTTAAAAGGGGGTAAACTGTAAAAGAGCCAAAATTCCCTATTGACGACTAGTCAGAAGGTCAAAAATATCAAAGTAACCGAGGTTACAGTTAGAAGTCCCTTCAACACACATTCCACTCAAAATCCTAGGAATTATCTAGCTATGGAAGAGCAAAACATAACGTGGATAGTGAGAGGGATTTTAAAATGTTATTACAAACTTTTTCGCACATTTTTGCATCATCAGTATTGAAAGTATAAAAAATCATATAAAATGATCATCGATCATGAAAATATCTTAAAACAAGGGCGCTATACAAAAGAAAAATTCAACCAATCAGATGTTTACAAATTTGAAATTTGCACCAAAATTACATCATTGGGGGGGGGGGGAGAGAAATGAGCGATCAGTCAAGGTGTTTGCCATTCCTACGGATTGGCACAGTCGAATCCTCCGACGAGAACGAAACCAGGCATTAGCGATATTAGCTACAAAATTATTACGAAAAGGAGGGTAGGAATATTCCAGAATTGTGACATTCGACCAGAATGGACAAAAATGCAAATGCAGCAGTTTCGAGTTTTTAACAGCGAACCTTCCGAATTGGCTGTTTTGAAGGAATAAGAGCGTTATTCGAACGATTAGCCAAATCGTGAAGGCTGAAGGATTCGGAAAATCCTAAATTTTAAAAATTCAAAAAGATGACGAAATAATTCTGAGAAACGTCAGGGACGGCCATTTTGGAGAAAAACTTGAAGAAGAACACAACAACGATAGTTGCGACAACGACAACAACGCAAAAAAATGAGAATCGGAATCAAAGAAAAAGTAGAAGGAGCAGAGACCGCTCCGAGTTGCAACTATTGTGCCGCTACAATAGTTGCAAGGCCAATGCGAGCAACGGCGAAGGGTGGAAGTCAGCTTTCCGGAAGGAGAATAAGAGTCTTATTTCCCCGGATTCAAGAATCCGGAGGGTCTCGCGATTTGGACTGAAACTATTTTATATAAACTTTTAGCTTCCCTACTTTGCCCTGAGTTGAATTTAATTAACATCTGAATTCATTTTTCAAGGATGAGAAGCTAGGAGTTGGGGGGAAGGGTTGATCCATCTTCGATGGAGATGATGATTTTTATCTACTGAACAAAAATAATAGTAATATAATAAGTAGAAGTAGCACTGATTTTAGGAGTGAGCCAAAATTCCCTATTGACGACTAGTCAGAAGGTCAAAAATATCAAAGTAACCGAGGTTACAGTTAGAAGTCCCTTCAACACACATTCCACTCAAAATCCTAGGAATTATCTAGCTATGGAAGAGCAAAACATAACGTGGATAGAGAGAGGGATTTTAAAATGTTATTACAAACTTTTTCGCACATTTTTGCATCATCAGTATTGAAAGTATAAAAAATCATATAAAATGATCATCGATCATGAAAATATCTTGAAACAAGGGCGCTATACAAAAGAAAAATTCAACCAATCAGATGTTTACAAATTTGAAATTTGCACCAAAATTACATCATTGGGGGGGGGGGGAGAGAAATGAGCGATCAGTCAAGGTGTTTGCCATTCCTACGGATTGGCACAGTCGAATCCTCCGACGAGAACGAAACCAGGCATTAGCGATATTAGCTACAAAATTATTACGAAAAGGAGGGTAGGAATATTCCAGAATTGTGACATTCGACCAGAATGGACAAAAATGCAAATGCAGCAGTTTCGAGTTTTTAACAGCGAACCTTCCGAATTGGCTGTTTTGAAGGAATAAGAGCGTTATTCGAACGATTAGCCAAATCGTGAAGGCTGAAGGATTCGGAAAATCCTAAATTTTAAAAATTCAAAAAGATGACGAAATAATTCTGAGAAACGTCAGGGACGGCCATTTTGGAGAAAAACTTGAAGAAGAACACAACAACGATAGTTGCGACAACGACAACAACGCAAAAAAATGAGAATCGGAATCAAAGAAAAAGTAGAAGGAGCAGAGACCGCTCCGAGTTGCAACTATTGTGCCGCTACAATAGTTGCAAGGCCAATGCGAGCAACGGTGAAGGGTGGAAGTCAGCTTTCCGGAAGGAGAATAAGAGTCTTATTTCCCCGGATTCAAGAATCCGGAGGGTCTCGCGATTTGGACTGAAACTATTTTATATAAACTTTTAGCTTCCCTACTTTGCCCTGAGTTGAATTAAATAACATCTGAATTCATTTTTCAAGGATGAGAAGCTAGGAGTTGGGGGGAAGGGTTGATCCATCTTCGATGGAGATGATGATTTTTATCTACTGAACAAAAACAATAGTAATATAATAAGTAGAAGTAGCACTGATTTTAGGAGTGACCTCGTGGTCTGGAGATACTGAGACCCAGCCATGAGCTCACTATTTCTGCAAGTAATTAAGTTAGTTTGAGCGTTCTGGACGAAGCCGGAGAACAGTAACGTTTTTGTCGACCGATGTTGAAAAGACCACAAAAAGAACTGGCTTGATAGGGACGGTGAAAAGCACGTAGAGCTCTGTTTAGACATTAGCCAGTCGTCTTAGAACCTGTTATTATTTTCCGTCGATATGTATCTTCCGGGTGAATGTTACATAGATGTTTTTATGGCGCTCCTGGGTGTTATTCTTTTAAACATCATGACCGCCAGAACCGCTAACGAGCACTCCGCGCCGAGCGGATGCTCACATTAAATCCCTTAATAAGCCAAAACCGCCTGGGAGGAAGGGTAGTTCGGAACGCGGAAGCCTTCCGGATTACCGTGAATAGCTTTTTAACCTAGTTAAGACCGCAAATTCACGAACCAGGAAGGGTGGTGGATCGGCCATCCCCTCCTTTCCTGAGAGGTTTGTGACCAAAAACACTTAAATATATGTATATAACCAAACAAAAAGTAGTATAGTACCCAAGAAAAACAAAAAACATAAAAAAATAACCGAAAAAAAAACAAAAACAGTAAAAAAGTAAAAAAACAGCAGTAGAAATCATCCCCCCAGACAAGATGTGATCCGACACTCCCGTTTGTTGTTGACAGATATATTGTTATTACAGGCAATTATATCAATCAAAATCGTTACGATCATTTTTGTAGCCCGTTTGTGATTATTGTACTGTAGGGTTGTTTGAGTATTTAAGCACGTTAATGCTAATTTGCACTCAATCCGGAAGGGTCTGCTGATTTGCGCTCAATCCGGAGGGGTCTTGGGGGAAGACTGATCCGGCAAGCAGTACAAGGAGCAACAAGGAGGGGCTCAACGACAACAACAATCGACTGTTGGGTATAGTTAACGAGTTTTGTATCCCTTTTGGTACAAAAATTAAGATAGTAATCTGTGGGGTGCTCGACAGTGCTGCACTGTAGTGATCCTTCACCGAACTGCGAATATCTGAATTAAGCACCTTAATTCGGTTATTGAACAAACTCGGAGGGGTATAGTATTCTATTATTATTACTTATATAGCCCATAATAATACTCCTTTATCGTTTTTCAGTGAAAAAACAAAGAAAACACACCGGTTTTTAGGGTCAAAATAGCGATAATTTGATCCCCCCACAAATCGCGATTTTTGACATATCGATATTTTTTGAAATGTGAAAAAGCGCTAAATTAGTGTGTTACATCGAAATTGCACTACTATAATAGGTAGAACCGGTTAAGTTTAGTTCGGAAGTGGTTGGAACTATTTTGGTACCAAAAACCGAATTTTCGTGATTTTTGAGAAAACGGAACACTATAAACTCAGAAAATTTTTTTAAATCTTTGAGTTAGGACAGTAAAAATAGTTGTTCAGGCAACGTTCACAAGTGAATCTACCTGTTTACCGAAAGCCTTCCGGAGTACAGAGAAATCGAACTTAAAGTGTTTGATTCAGTGGATTCATCAATCCGGAGGGGTCCAAATAGCATAATTTTTCGTAAATTTTTTCAACTATAGCATTTTAGATCGGGTCTTTTGCATTGAACTAGAAGAGTATAGGCCTTCTGAGCTCGGATCAATAATTTTTAGGTCGAAAAGAACAGGATTGCGGAAAAAGTTAGGCGGAACCTATAAGAGAAAAATTTCTTGACTTTTGAAAAAAGACGTTTTGAATAATAACTTTAGAACAACTGGACAGATCCAGTTGATCTTGGTACCAATAGATCAGAAATTAGCTGAGCTTACTAATAGGAACAAAAATTATTCGAAAAAGTAAGCCTGAAAATTTTTTGAGATTGTTTTTATCAAATTCGCCATTTCGCGGGGGTAGACCCCTCACGTTTTATAGATTTTTTTTGGAAAGCCCTTACACCCCTACCAAAGGGTAGAAACGGTTGAATAAGGCAATTTTACGCTGTTCTAGAAGAATAAGGAAGGCTAAAGGCACCGGAAAACCTTGATAGAGCCGAAATTAGGCTAGCGATAAGACCCTTCACCGTTAGCGTGAATTGTCAAATAAGAGGCTTAACTTCAATCCGGAAGGGTCTAGGGAAGGACCACATACCCTTCCCAGCTGATACAAAAAGCATAATAGCATCGGTGAACGTATCCGGAGAGGTGTACGTTGAAAATCAAGGAAGTCTCAGAAAAGCTATTTTTACAAATCCGGAGGGCTCCCAATCCGGAGGGGTCAAAATTACTTCTTTCCTAATTCCGAGGGGTCCCAATCCGGAGGGTCTTGTTTTCACAAAACCGGAGGGGTCCCAATCCGGAGGGGTCTTACATTTGCTAACCCAGAGGGGTCCCAAACCGGAGGGGTTTCAATTTTGCCGATCCGGAGGGGTCCTATTTTTGCCAATCCGGAGGGGTACTGTTTTTGTCAAACCGGAGGGGCATTATTTTATTAAAGGACTTAGGCAAATAGAAGAAAAGATAAGAGTGAGGGGTGTTAGGTTA